AGGAGGGACCAGTCACTGGAGAAGGATATCATGTTTGGTAAGATGGAGGGTCAGAGAAAAAGAGGAAGACCCCCAGAGAGATGGATTGGTAAAGTGGCTGCATCAATGGGTTCAAGCGTGGCAACAATTGTGAGGTTCGCCCAGGATCAGGCAGTGTTTCATTCTGTTGTGCATAAGGTCGCTATGAGTCAGTACCCACTTCCTGGCACCTAACAACAACAACAAGAGAAGGGGCCATAAAAATATGTATATTTATTGAGGATATTGTTCACAAATTTATTCAAAGACCATCAAGGGAAAATAAATTGATAGCTAACGACCAAGAGTCCTGATGTGGCGCTGTGGACTAATGTGCTGGACTACATAGTCAGTTTAAACCGCAAGGTGGGCAGTTTAAGCTTACAAGCCACTCCTTAAAAACCCTATAGAGGGTTGCTATGGGTCGGAAACAACTCAACGGGACTTAACAACAATGACCAAGAAATATTTGGTTCCTTTGAGGAATTAGTTTGCTTTATCCTTCGGTCAGTGTTGTTTTTAGGTGGCATTGCGTCGTCTCCAACACAGTGACCCTCTGCACACAAAATGAAACCCTGGCCAGTTTTGCACCATCCCATTGAGCCCACTGATGTTACCACTGTGCCAATCCAACTTATTGGAGTCTTTCTTTTTTGCTGACCCTCCACTTTACCAAACATGATATCCATCTCCAAGGACTGGTCTCTCCTAATAAAATGTCTGAAATATGAGAGACAAAAATGTATGTGCTATCTGAGGAGCATGATGGCTGTACTTCTTCAAAGATTTGTTTGTCCTGCTGTCAGAGCGTGGTACTTTTAGTGTTCTTTTCCACACACACACATTAAGTCCAACGCATCAATTCTTCTCAGGACCAACTTTCACATGCATAGAAGGCCATCTGAAACACCATGGCTTGAGTCAGACACACCTTAATCCTCAAAGTGACATCTTTGCTCTTAAACACTTTAAAGGGCTTTTATGTAGCACATTTGTCTAACACAGTATGTCGTTTGCTTTTCTCACTGTTGTTTCCATGAGTGTTGAGAGTGGATCCAAACAAAATGAAGTCTTTCACTAAATCAGTCTTTTCAATATTTATCACGACGTTATCTATGTAGGTTCAATGGTGACGATTTTTGTTTTCTTTACATTGAGGTGCAACCCATACCGAAGGCTGTGGTCTTTGATCTTCACTAGTAAGTGTTTTAAGTTCTCTTTGCTTTCAGCAAGCAAGGTGGTATCATCTCCATATTGCAGGTTGTTAATGACTCTTCCTTCAAGCCTGATACCACATTATTCTTCATGTAATCCAGCTTCTCTGATTACTGGCTCAACATACAGACTAAATAAATATGGTGAAAGGATACAACCTAAGGGTACACCTTTCCTGATTTTAAATCATTCAGTGTCTCCTTTTTCTGTTAAAACTATGCACCAGTTCCTCATAAGCACAATTAAGTGTTCTGGAATACTCATTCTCTCCTAAATGTTATCCATAGTTTGTCATGATCCACACATTCAAAAGCCTCTGCATAGTCAGTACAGTACATATAAACATCTTTCTGGTACTCTCTGCTTTCAGCCAAGATCCATCTGACATTAACAATGACATCCCTTATTCCACGTTCTCATTTGAATCCAGCTTGAACCTCTGGCGGTTTCCTGTCAATGTCCTCTGATAGTCATTTTTGAATTATCTGTAGCACAATTATACTTGCATGTAATATTAATGATATTGTTCAATGATTTCCGTGTTCTGTTGGGTTACCGCTCTTTGGAATGGGCATAAACATGGATCTTTTCCAATCAGTTGGCCAGGTAGCTGTCTTTCAAATTTTCTGGCATACATGAGTGACTGCCTCCAGTGCTGTATCTGTTTGTTGAAAGATTTCAACTTATAGTCCATGAATTCCTGGAGCTCTGCTCTGCGTCAATGCCTTCAGTGCACCTGAAAGCTCTTGGTCACATGCTACCTCTTGAAGCAGTTGAACACTGACCATTTATTTCTTTTTGGTACAGTGACTCTTGTGTATTCCTTCCATCTTATTTTGATGCTTATGTTTCATTCAATATTTTGCCTATTGCTGCTGTTGTTGGTAAATGCCATCGAGTTGGTTGGTTCCTACTCATAGCAACTTTGTGGAGGATTTCTAAAATCCTTCAATAGAGCAAATCAAGGTTTGAATTTTTTCTTCAGTTCTTTCAGCTTGAGAAATGCTTTAGCGTGTTCTTCCCTTTGGTTTTCTAACTCCAGATCGTTGCACATTTTATTACAACACTTGACTTTGTCTTCTTGAGCTGACCTTTGAAATTTTCTGCTCAGCATCTTTACTTCCTCATTTCTTGCATTTGCTTTAGCATCTCTATGCTGGCGAGCAAGTGTCAGCCTCTTCTGACATCCTCTTTGGACTTTTCCTTCTTTCTAGCCTTAATGACCATTTGCTTTCTTCCTGTCTGATGTTCCTGATGACATTCCACATTCTTCTTGTCTTTAGTCATTAGTTTGTAATATATCAAGTCTCAAGATAATCTCTAAATTCAGGTGGGACACATTTAAGATCATATTTGGCTCTTGGGGACTTGTTTTACTGCTTTTCAGCTTCAGCCTGAACTTAAAGAGCGTAAGAGCAATTGATGGTCTGTTCCACAGTCTGCTCCTGGCCTTGTTTTGGCTGATGATAATATAGCTTTTCTATTGCCTCTTTCCACAGATGTAGTCAATTTGATTTTTATTTATGCCAACTGATAAGGTCCATGTGTACAGTCTTCTTTTAAGCTGTTTAAAAGTGGTATTTGCAATGAAGAAGTCATTGGTCTTCCAAAATTTTATCATGCAACCTCCAGCATCATTGCTATCATCAAAGTCAATTTTTCCAACTATTGATCCTTCCTCTTTGTTTACAACCTTTGCATTTCAATCACCAGTAATTATCAATACATCTTGATTGCAGAAGTTGGTAAAACTCTTCAATTTCATTATCACTAGCTTTAGCAGTTCAGGCATAAATTTGAATAACAGTGGTATTAACTGGTCTTCCTTGTAGGCATATGGATATTATGCTATCACAGACAGCATTACACTTCAAGGAGATCTTGAGATGTTCTTTTTAATGATTCAATTTGTCATTCTCAGCATAGTAAACCATGATTGACTGTCAGATTAAAAATTGCCAATACCAGTCCATTTCAGTTAACTAATGCCTAGGATATCAATCTTTATTAGTCACATTTAATTTTTGATAACTTCCAATTTTCTTAGACTCATACTTCGTACACTACACGTTCTGATTATTAATGGATGTTTACAGCTGTTTTTCCTCATTCTGAGTTGTGCCCCATCAGCAAATAAAGGTCCTGAAAGCATTCACGTCATCACAGTCAACTGTACTTGAGGAGGTAGCTCCTCCCCAGTTGTATTTTGAATGCCTTCCAATTGAGGGGCTCATCTCGTGGCACTCGATCTGACAATATTCTGGTGCTATTCATCATGCATGTTTCAACATTCAATATGTAACTCATAAATGTCCATATTTTTTATTATAATACCATGATGGGAACAAGATTAGAGCATAATTCTTTATTACATCCACTAAAAACTTCAAAGCAACGTTTGTGGCTCAGATTCAATACATTGTTAGGCCACTAAGACATAAGAATTCCAACGTTAAGAACTTCACAAGCCTCTACAGTTGGTGTATCAGTGCTCTAACCTTGTCCCCATTCTGGTATTCTATTTTGAGAGTAGTTTCCCTGATCTTGATTTTTAAAAATTAATTATACTTTTATTTTTCACTCCAAGACTTCACTCTAACTCACTGGAAAATAAGAAACTATCAACTCACCTGTAACATGGTCATTTTCTGCTGCCCACGTGAGATGATCAGCAAGTCCGACTCTACCACAAAGCTCGAGACTGAGGTCTGGGCTAGGTCTTCTAGAGGACCTCCTTTCTTATTTCACACGGGCACGTTTACTTCTGGAGAGCCAGGACCTGTGGACTGAGGGTCAAATGCAGTTTAAGCTGGTATAGTCACTTTCGGCTTAACGTTTTTTGCTTTCTTGATAAGAACTAGAAATTAATGATTATCTAAGTCCAGAGAGGGCTTTCTAAATAACTGAAGGAGAGTTATCAGGGGCAGAAATGTAATACAGTATAAAAGAACCCAGAATCTTTACTTACAAAACAGAAGTCATTGAATCTGAAGGGAAAGCAAGGTGGATGGGAGAATAGCCAGGCAGGTTTACATGGGCTAAATAGGACAGAGGTAAATAACCGTGGAACAACAGGCCTCGTGGATACAAAGACTGAGGCATGGTATGAATGGGTAAAAGTGGGGAAATGATGTTAAGCTTGGCTGTCTTGTGAATCTTGGTTTCCCTTACCTACTATTGTAAAATAGACACTTGAAAGGGAGAGAGAGGAATAGCCAGAAACATCACCAGAGAAATCTTGTAAGTCTGTCTTTAGCCTGTAACTGATGGGAGTACCTAAAATGGGGCCAGAACTTTCCCAGTGAAGGAGGCTCCCTGCAGAGCCTTTGCATTGCACAAGAACAGAGGTGGAATCCTGATCCCCCATCCAGAATCTTCTGAGGTGGGACATTTTCACTTGAAAGGACACGCAGACCAGTCTGTAGCAGCTAGAAGAACAGAAGATAGTTCTTGAAAGAAAGATCGACAGGAAAAAATCAAAACCAATAACAGCAGTCTACTGTTAGTGACTACTACAAGAATAAGCAGGTTGTTCCCCAGGGAGACATCAAGGTAAGTGGTCAGGTCCCCTCAAGGCAAACCCCCTTCCAAGACTGAAACTCAACTGAAATCCACTAGCAGGCATGTGGTCCTGCTGCTGACCACATTGGTTACCGATAAGGGGAAGTGGGGGTAAAACAGCAATGAAGTTGTGAACTAAGTATGACCACATTCAACAGACACCTGTTAACCTGAACTGAGACCTGGTTAACCAGCAGTATGATGAGACCTGGGGACTCCTGGGCCCAAGGGCAGGGACATGGCCCCAGAGGACTAAAATGGAGTGTGAAGCATCCAGCTGATATATGAAGTGAGGGGAGATGCACAAGAACACCCACACTTGCAGATACTACCCATTTGACCTGGCATCAATGGCTGGATGATCAGAACACGACTAGAGGAAGAAAGAAGAGGAACAAAAAGAAAAAGAAAGAAAGAATAACCCGTTAAAAGTGGATGAACCTGACCTATGCTTGTGGATGCAATATGACAAAGGAGCGGACAAATCTCTACAGTGAGAATCATTCCCACCCCCTTGGTACACAGGGTCGACAGGGAGGGGGAACTCAGACATTGGCTACCCAAAATGGGGGGACTACAAAGGCAAGAAGTGACTGGCTTGCAAGCTTTAAATAGGGAACCTAGCTCCAGAGGATACAGAGAAAAGGCAGAATCTCCATTGAATTGTTTCCAACCTGTCTGGATGGGGTTGATGAAAGGTCAGGGGGAAAGGACTCCTGTGGTTCAATAGGAAATGATTGCTATCAGGTATGACAGTGAGTGTTGGAAAGGTATATGTAAATGTTTGGTAAAAAAGGAGGGGAGGGGCTGGTTTTGCAGTCCAGGAGCAGAGATCCCTGGAACCATCAAGGAAGAGAAGCAAAGTGGGAGACCCTATCTAGAGATGATGACATGGACAGAAGGAGTGGCTAGGGACTCTGGACTCAGGTGGGAGAGGGGCTGTGGGCTAGAGGCTGGGGGGCAGGAGTGTGGGGTGTACCCTTTGGGTGTTTGATGATGCACGCAGGGGATTGTGATCACTGCAGTTAAACAAAATACAGTAGGATGAATGTAAAGATAACGTTCACCCATGTAAACTAACTCATAATTCACAATAAAAACTTTAAAATATCACTTTAATAGGTGCTATGTGGTACTGCAGGATACGCATTGGATTGCTAACCACAACATCAGGAGTTCAAACAAACCAGCTGGTCTCAGAACCTTATACAGGGTTGCTGTGAGTCGGAACCTACTCAATGGTACACAACTATTACTACTATGCATTAAAGTTGACTCAATCCTAGGCAGATGAAATTTTAGAAAGCTTTTTGTTGTTGTTGTTGTTGTTGTGGAGTCGGTTCTGACTCATAGCGACCCTGTATAGGGTTTCCGAGGCTGTAAATCTTTACCGGAGCAGAAAGCCTCATCTTTCTCCTGCAGAACTACTGGTAGTTTCGAACTGCTGACCTTGCGTCTCGCAGCCCGATTCATAACCACTACGCTAGCAGAGCTCCTTAGATTTTATTATTATTAAAGCAGATTCTCATTTCCTACTCCATCATTTTATGTTCTTGCTAGGGTGCCATCAAGTCAGTTACAACTGATAGTGACCCTGGGCCCAACAAAACAAACCCCGCCCAATCCTGTGCCAGCCTCACAATCACTGCCATATACGAGCCCGCTGGTACAGTCACTGCAGCCATCCATTCTCACCGACCGTTTTCCTTTTTCAATCAATCTACTTCACCTGGTGCAGCGCTGTGGGCTAATGCGTCAGACTGCAAAGCCATTTGAACTGCAAGGTCGGCAGTTCAAGTTCACCAGCCGCTCCTCGGAAACCCTATACAGGGTCGCTATGGGTCAGAATCGACTCGACAGCACTTTACAACAACAACAAGATGACATGTCCAAAACACTTGAGACAAAGTCAAAGACAAAGACTCTACCTCCCTCCCAAGGGGTAGAGTCTAGCTGTACTTCTTTCAAGAGACAAACAGGTTCCTTTTTCTGGCAGTATGTTTAATAGTATTCACCAATACCAGAATTCAAAAGCATCAGTTCTTCCTTAAATAGTCTTCCTGATTCAATGTTCGGTTTTTGCATACATATGAAGCACATGAAAATACCATGAACTGAGTTGGGCATACGTTAGCCCTCAAGATTCTTTTTTAATATTTTAAAGAGCTCTTTTGCAGAAGATTTGCCTACTGCAAAACATCATTTGATTTCGTCATTGCTTCCATAGGCGTTGATTGTAAATCCAAGTAAAATGAAATCCCTGACAACTTTAACCTCCATTATCATGTTGCTTATTGGCCCAATTGTGAGTACTTTGCTTTCTTTTTGTTTTCTTTCTTAAAAGAACTTTTTATTGTGAATTAAGTAAAGCTTTATAAAGCTGATAATCAGTTTTACAGTCAACAAATCACACACTTCGTTTCATTCAATGATTACAATCCCCTCCCTGTACCTCAGTTCACAGTAGTTACCTCTAGTCCCTTTCCCACACTCCTGTGTTCTCCCCCACAGTTATCTTTCTTCTGCCAACATTCCTCGTATCGTAAATTGCCTTCCTCATAATTCAAGTAAACACGTGTCTACCCTGTGCAGCTGCTGTGTGTCATCAACCCTGTGAAGGATTCCCAATGCTATAAATCTTTACAGGAGCAGAAAGCCTCATCTGTGTCCTGAGAAGGGGCTGATGGATTTGAACTGCCAACCTTGTAGTCAGAAGGCCAACATGGAATGTATTATGCTACCAGAGCTCTTGTTGTTGTTGTTGTTAAGTGCCGTCGAGTTGGTTCCGACCCATAGCAACCCTGAACAGGGTTTCCGAGCCTGTAAATCTTTATGGGAGCAGAAAGCCTCTTCTTTCTCCCGCGGAGCAGCTGGTAGTTTCAAACTGCTGACTTTGCAGTTTGCAGCCCAATTTGTAACCACTACGCTACCAGAGCTCTAGTCCATGAATAATTCTCCCTTCCATCCCACCCCTGGACTCCTGGTATGGCACTGCAGGATCAGCACTGGACTAACCACAAGGTTGGTGGCTCAAACCCACCAGCTGCTCCTTGGAAGGGAAACCCTATACAGGATTGCTATGAGTTAGAACCAACTCAACAGCACTTAACAACGCCCCACTGCTGGTTACCATCTCAAAATATTTCTTTTAGCACTACAAATCTTTTCTGGACTTCTTACAATAGTGGTCTCAATACAATACTTGTTCTTTTGTGCTTGACTAATTTCACTTGGTATAATGTCCTCCAGATTCATCCATGTTATGAGGGTTTTTACAGATTTATCCTTTTTCTTCAGTGTTAGAGTGTATTCTACTGTGTACGTACCAAAGTTTGTTGAATTATTCTTCTGTTGATAAGTATTGTAGGCTGTCTCCACCCTCTCGCTATGGTGAATAGTGCTGCATTGAACGTGGGTGCACAGACATCTGTTCATGTAACGGCTTCTATTTCTTAAGGACGTATGACAAGTAGAGGGATTGCTGGATCACACAGCACTGCTAGTTACAATTTTTTGAGACAGCATCATACAGTCCCACCAACATTCTGTTGGTCCCAGTCTGTACACCCTGACCACCCTTTGCTGTTTCCTGTGTTTCTGAACACAGTTCAAGCTCACCAGCTACTCCTTGGAAACCCTATACAGGGCTGCTACGGGTCGGAATCGACTCCACGGCACTTAGCAACAACAATTAATGATGGAGTTAAGAGATCTTTGCAGCAGATTCACCTAGTGAAACATATCATCAGATTTCTTGATTGCTGCTTCTATGAATGTTGATTAAGGATCCAAGTAAAATGAAATCCTTAAACAACTTTAATATTTTTTCCATTTATCAAGATGTTGCTTATTGGCCGAGTTGTGAGAATTTTTGTTTTATGTTGAGGTGTAATCCATACTGATATTCATACTACGCTATTCATCAGTAAGTGCTTCTAATCGTCTTCACTTTCAACAAGCAGGGTTATGTTACCTGCTAATGAGTCTTCTTTCAATACTAATGCTGTGTTATTTTACAAAGTCCAGCTTCACTGATTACTTGCTCAGTATACAGACTGAATACAATTTAAAATATCAGCATTTTTACACTGGTCACATATGCAGCTTAG